TCAAGGCTTTCCCTTACCATGCTCCCTCCAGGAACGTGCTCCAAGGATTTATGCGTGCCACCTCGATTGGCTTGGGTCCAAGGAGGGTTGCAGGTTCGTCATTCAGTTTTCCATCGGGCGATAATCAATAGGCTGGCATGAGACATCTTAGAAGTGCTCAGACCGGCACAACACATCTTTCACAGACCGGCTTGGCCTATCTTAGAAGCTGTGCAGATCGGCACGACATAGCTTAGAGGTGTTGCAGACTTTTGATATTTTGATAGCCATGGATTTCTCGCTGATGTCGGAGTCGCTCGTTGCCCGGCTTCGAAAGCTGGTTCCGCAAGCCTTCGAGGATGGCTTTTGTCACGACTCACCTTTGATGTGGAGGGAGCGGTTCCTGCAGTTTTGCCAGTATGGCAACAGCATATTGGCATCGGCAATGGAGCGGGTGGTAGCCTAAGTTGCTTGTACTTCAGTGTAGAAGTATCAAAAGCACAACCCATAACCATAGCCTTCTCAGGAGGGCTTGCAGAGTGCCCACATCATGGGTTTGGACGACTCCGAATCCATGGAGACAGAGCGGGGGCAGGACCTCTGCCCTTGGGTTGCATTGTCATGGTTGGCAGTCGTCATTTTCTGGACCCCCTGACATTTAGCCAAGATTTCACTTGCTGAGGTTTGACGATGGCCACGCGGGTACTTCCCGGAGGACTCGTGTATATCATGTGCCCCGGCGGAATGTCTTTATGTGGTGGTGTAGCTCCCTTTCGCTTCTTTTTGCATTGAGAATAATTGAGGCCCTTTCGCCACTGCAGTTTGGGCCAAGCTGTAAAAGATAAGGTGGCTGTGACTCGGCTTTTTAAATGCCGTGTGGGTCTCAGTGAAGAAGCCATCATCTTGAACAATTGAGGCTTTCTTGGCCGACTTGATGCTCCTCTGCGATGCCGTGGCCGTTCGAGTTGTTCTGCATCTTCCGATGCAGGAATCCCGGTTCTTCGAGGGACACCCTGCCTTGAAGGACCTCTTTTGGGGTGATTCCATTGCTTGATTTTGGGCGAAAGACTAGAATGAGATTAAGCTTTCATTTAATTCTTGAAGCAGGAGGCGGATCGGCTCCTGAAGTTCACGAAGTGCTTCTTCCCGATGTCCACATTCGGTTGCTGCAAGCAGCAGCTGGGACAAGCACTTCAGGAAGAGACGGGGGGTGGGTTGCTGATTCATTGATCATGAATGAACAACCAAGGGCCATGACTACGCTATTCGGAACCGACCGGCTTGTGGTCAAGGGTGTGAAGCATGTTTCCTCGCGGATTTTATCCATGCTGCCCGGTGGCAATCTAGATAAGAGTCCTCGAGCTCATGTGTACCGTGCCCATCTGATTGCAAACTGGTCTCAGGTTCCCTGCTGTGGCCAATCGGCAGTCAATCGGGATCCCGTCTTTGCACAACTACTTCGGTGACCAAACCGGCACATACACATTTTGTGCCACTTGGCTCTAGTCTTCAGTTGTCTTTGGCTTGTGTGGTTGATTCTCAGACAGTGAGCTTCAGTGTCAGGTTTGCCATCTTGTGCTTATGCGGCACCGCCGTTCGGTTGATTCGCTACTGGCGATTAATCTGCCGCGAATGCTGGATGCAATGGCAAAAGATCTGGTGCTCCAGGCCCGGTGGGTTCATGCACACACCAAACAGATGCCAGCTGATATTGCATTGGTTCAGACCGAGGATTTGGACGAGTGCTTTATGCTGCAGCGGTGTGTGGCGAATCCTTATGGGACTCCGCGAGCCCGGCGAGTTGATTTCACCCTCCAGGCGACGCTCGTTCAACATCGCTTTCGTGCCCTTGGTTTCGCAAAGCTTCGTTCTTTCTTGATTGCAGGATGTGGACTGCTATGTGACACGGTCGGCTGGGTCGACGGTCGTGGTTCCACGGCCGCATTGTGGGGTTTTGTGCTTGGTGTGCCTTGCTTTTGTGGGGTGGATTCTCGGCTTGCTGAGTCGGCGATGGAAACCTCAGTGCTGGACGCTCTCGGAGAGGATCGCCCTATCTGACCCAGAGAGCTTAAATTCTAATTCGATGAAAGTCTGTGGGGGTTCTTGTCATGCCTTCTGCAGGAATGGGAGATGCTCGAGCCGTCGCCGTGATGCTTCTGCTGCTTCTTGCAGGACTGGATTGTTCAGGTTGCATGGTAAGACTGACGGTTCTACTACGTTTCAGAATAGCGACCCGGCAGCCGAGGATGGCTATGCTTGGTTATTTATTATGATGTGCTCGGAGAATGCACAGCGATTTTGATTTGTGCCTCGGATTGAATCGATGTCCGTCACTGCATGCTCTGAGCACAGAACAATGACAACATGTAAGTGTGATTTTAGCTCACACTTCGATTTGGACTGCTTGTTCGTGATTTGAGCCTTCAGGGTTTTAATTTGCGGGTTTTGCACGCTTAAGTCATGAGCCTAGTCTAGTTTAGTATTTAGTATATTCGGGGTGCCAAACACCAATCCCTAAACCCTGTTCCCCCACACCACTACTTTCAATCCAGGAGCTGATTATTTATGTGGGAATCTATGTCCTGGCGACCACCTGCACTTATGATGTGGGTCTTGGACGACGATTGTGGCCTGCAACCTGCCTGGTTAATCTGCAACTTCGGTTCTAACTAGGGCTTAAGAAGGCCATACATCGTTCGGCCTAATTCGGCGAGACACTTTTGTCTTCGGTGCGGGCAATCACCTGGGTGAGATTTCGGCCTGTGCCGTTCTGAGATTGCACCCAGCAGCCTAGGACAACACATGAAATTGTAAGCTCGCGGATGCAGCCAGCAACATTTGGAGTTGCACGCTTTCTTTGGGGAAATATCATTACAGTACTCTGGCTGCTGGTAGCTACTCGAGCCCTTTCTTCCTCGGGGTGTTGCAATGCTTTCGGCTTGATAGTTAATTAGTTGAAACTTTATTGTATCCAGGGGGTTGGTTGCTTGTGAGAAGGGAACATAATCTAGATAATCCCCAGCTACTAGGTGATTCGTGCTCCGAGTATGCTTGGGGCTTTTAGGGTGATTACATCCGGCTGCTCGGTTGCAGAAATGAAAGAGGCCGCCGCTGCACCGTTGTTTGCTCAGCAATTTGCGACCTGAGCCGATTGCAGAGTTGATGTCTCCATGTGCTTGCTGAAACTAGGACTTTTGGCTTGGGCGACTCTGTAGGATCTGTAGGGTCCTACATCACTGATTCCTAGGTCCTAGGACCAGCCTCCATAGGAAACTTGGGTCATATTGAATTACTCAGTGGGAGCCTATGTCCATCGGGTTGTTGTGACTTGTTGCCTTTCGTCCTAATCGAAC